AAATTTATAACCAACTCAACCTAAATACTAAAAGGTTAAATATCTTTTTTGGTCCCTCTACTATAGGAAAAAGTCATTTTTTGTCCCTGTACCGAAAAAATCCCCTTTTTGGTCCTTACTGTTCACAAATCCGACCCCTTTTTAGTCTCTCCGTTAAATTTTAACTGATGTGACAGGTTAATTAACGGAAACACTCCTTTTTTTTTATTAAATTACGTGAATTTTGCACGTGACAAAAATTGATGACATATTAAATTTTTTACTTTTAATTACTGATATACCATCGTCTTCTTCCCCGGCTTCTCCTTCCTCTAGCCTTTTTTTTTCTTTTACCTCCAGGCAAACCCAAGAGCCTGGGTTCACAAAACCTAAAAGGCAGCCATAACGAACAAACAAAATGAACCAACCAGTGTTAATATGAAGGAAAGAACAAACAAAATGAACCAACCAGTGTTAATATGAAGGAGAAAAAGGCTCCTGGGTTCCTCACGCACCCAGGAGCCTGGGTTCCTCGCGAACCCAACTCCTGGGTTCGCACCTCGCAAACCCAGGCTCCTGGGTGCGAACCCACGAGCTGGGTTCGCACATCCAGGAGCCTGGGTTCACACCTCGTGAACCCAGCTCGTGGGTTCGCGAGGTGCGAACCCATCGCCTAGATGTAAAAAGAGAAAAAGAAAAAAAAGAAAAGGCCAGACGAAGGAGAGGATGGGGAAGAAAGAAGAGGGTAAATTAATAATTAAAAGAAAAAATTTTACCATGTCATCAATCTTTGAGGGCAAATCAGTAATTAAAAGTAAAAAAATTTAGCATGTCATCAATTTTTTCCACATAATTTAATAAAAAAAACAAAATGAGTTTTTTCATTAATTAACCTGTCACATCAGCCAAAATTTAACAGAATGACTAAAAAGGGGTCGGATTTGTAAACAGTAAGGACCAAAAAGGGGATTTTTTCAGTACGGGGACCAAAAAAAGGCTTTTTCCTATAGTAGAGGGACCAAAAAAGCTATTTAACCTATTATATTCGGCTGCACTAATTTGTCTTCTGCCTTTAACTTCTTTTTTCTGCACAAAATAAATCACTCAGGATCACTTCGATTCCTCTCATGCTATGCTTTTGCTCAATCGATCCCTCTTTTCAGCCCTACTTTCGTCGACGTTTGATTTGATTTGCTTTCATCCAACTTGCTTCTATCATTTTCTCTGTTCAATCCTTTTTTTAATCATCTTCTGCTGCTACTCTCTGCACAGCATCTTCACACCCCTTTACACAGGTCACCTCATCCTCACATGTTTCTCATTTCTCACCCTTTCTTTTCATTTGATTTCATCTCAACTCAGTTCCCTCCATTGTTTGCGCGGATCAATCCTTCTTCCGCTACTCTCTGCACCTCATTTTGCCTCCCTTTACTAAAAATCACCTTATTTTCACTATTCTCATCCTTTGTTTCATATCCTCATCTGATTCATTTGCTTCTTTTGTTCCAATTGTGTCTTTATTCTTGTTTGGCACCTGTATATTTT